ATGGGTATTTATAACCTATGATTCCTTGTAGGGATGGTTCCTGGCTTGAGTATACAGTGAGCTTAATTCCGCATGAAGCGAAACATTTCTCAATAGCACAATAGGAATACAAATGATTATGCAACAGAGAACCTCTGAAAAGTGATAATTAATTAGTGTTCGCCAATTATACTTGTATGCAGATAATTAGATGACAATGAAGTGTTGAAAATACTCAAGACTTCAAATGTCAATAAAATGAGGCTGAAATATGCATAAAATGTCAAAGAATTTGTATAGTCATTTCAATAGCATGCCAGTAATTTACAGTTTTCATGAGTAGGAACTGTTATCCAGGAAAGACAATAATTTAGGAAAGTAGCTACTATCATCGACTGGACAATCATTGGAAACCAGAGAGGATTGAACAGTTGTTTCCTTCTAGTTTTGGACTTCCAAGACGATGAATGCCCATCGACAACATTGGATGGTGGTAATGCTACACCGCGAAATGACAGAAGTAGAAATTAGTTGACGGTTGGATCTCAACCCAACGACTGAATGGTAACGAGATGACCGTGTGCCATGGGCTCAATACTTCTCAGGGTTGTGGGTTTGTACTGCTGGGAAGTTCCATACCAAGATGAAACAGCCCTCCGGTACTCCTAGACCTTCAATGTTTCTCCAACTGATTTAAGTCAGAAATGAAAAAGACTTTCGAACCAATTTAACTTTACAAACAACCAATTGAAATTTAGCTAAGAATTCATTCAGCTTACCCTCAAGAAACCATAAACTGGTTCTTTAACTGAAACAATAAACAGAGGTTAATGTGACTCTTTACAAACAGAAATGTGTGAAATAGACACTGAAAACGATGCTAATTCAGTGGTTCGGAAACGAAGGAAATTGTTGAGAATCAATATCTGAAATCCATTCACTTAACCTTGTGCACATTCATGTAGTAGGGGGCAATGAGTCACACCTATTGTGTGCGGGCTAATGTTACCACGTCCCGCCAAAACCTCAGTAGGCAGAACGGTGTTCTGACCCGTGACCTAATGGTTGTCAACTCCCTTTAACTAATGAGGCATAACATAGGATATTGTTAGAAAGGAGTGTAAGGGGAAAATGGATTGTCTGGTCAATTCTCAATAGATAATCATCCCGAAACCAATAACCACTTAAAGTCTATCTAAAGGGGAGAAGTCACCCTTACTTCACGGAAATGCTGTTATGATGCGAAGTTATGAGAACGAATGAAAATAATTAACGATTGATAGTCGAAGGTTGAGACGATTCAACCTGAGTGAGCAGCAAAGAGAAATCAAAAGACTAGAAACCAGATGAGTTTACAGTATCTCGGACTGAAAACATTTATGAGTGAGAACGGACTATATTTATCGAGTTTATTGCAACCTTGAAAGACAAGGAATAATTAGTATATTTAAAGAGGTAGGAGCCAATTAGAACGCTGGGTGGTCATACGAAATATGACCACTGCGCGGGGAAAAGAGCACGAAGTAAAACATTTCAAATATACCCAAACTTTGAGCATGGAATATAAGGGATATAGGAATCCCTAACAATTCCACTGCCAACAAAGATGCTCTAAATTGTAACCGGAAGTTTACGAAACAGGATATCTAAAAAAGACTAGTATGTAACCGGTTTCAATCAAATGCAATTTCAGCTCTAAAGTCTTAAATCAAAGCAGACAAAAGAATGATACTAATTCCTTTTTCCTACTAGGTACCTTACAAGAGATACATAAGGGTCCACACCAATCCATGTGGCGACCACACCGCAACCTACTCAAAGTTTGGAGTAATTGCGGTTGGGAACGAAAGAAAGAAAGGAGGCTAACAGCGCTTAACGTTTAAGTCCCCGATGGGTGATCTGAGTAACTAACTACACTGTCGGCCTCTTGGTTAGAGTCTACAAGATAACCTAATTATGCGGTCTGACGTAACTTTAACTTAGATACATTCGTGCCAGTAACTTTGCTCACACTTGTTTTCCCTTGTCTTTTTTGAGATGGTTAACATAACACAGATTTTCAGCAATTTTGGCTGTGGTTTAGGGGGTTGACTTCCAATCAGTGGGTCGCCGACTCGAATAGTACTCAACCTACCGACGTTTGAGCAGCCAGTTATTAGCCTTCACACAATTGCCTATTGCACAAAAGTGTATAAGGATTTCAACGCAAGTCCCCATCAAATTAATGAATATCTGAACCATAATAAAGTAAATGTATAAAATCTCACTAGTCATCTGGAGTTTGTGCATCCTGGTATCAAGATTCCATAGTAGATTATATTATTTTTCCCTCTCGGGTTCCCAGTGAGCTTCAGTAGCACACCTCGATTGCACTCTGTTCTCTGCAGTCTTTTAAACCTGGAACCACGACTGCCCACAAGCTTTCATTTCTTCCTCACATGATCTCCATGCATATCACCCTCACCTCGGATACCCAACTCGCCGTTTCCTATTTGACTTCCACTCGAGGGCCTGGCACCAATATGGAAAATTAACAACCTGATTGATTTTCAAGGTACTATATGCTGGTGAAGAATATCAATAGGATTGTTTTCCGAGAATAAATTTATTTCAGTAGTCAACACAACTTCTAACCGAACAGTGAACAAGTTTTATGGTTATAACACCGGACTTTTTAATCATAACCTATTGATTTAGTCAGTCGATTTATATGCTAGTGGGTCATAAATTCAAACTAATCGGTCTGCTAAAGTTCAAACACCCAGCCAGTACATAAGTCTTCACATACAATACGTATGGTTTACTCAGCTCGGTGTACGAATATGCAAGTGGTCTTTGAGTCATAGTTTAACTGTTATTATATTGCTAAAATTTATATTTATGTAGTGATTAAGGCAAATGGTGCCTCAAATTTTCTCCTTAAACCCAAAATAAACCATCACTTACGACCAAATGATGTTTGACAAAGGCCTGTTTACTTTCGTTAAGGCCGAAATGTAGACTATTGCCCACGAATTACAATCTTGAAAATATAGTCACAACCTATTTCCATGTTACAAAAGGCGTGTAAATCGCTCAATTCCAACTCACATTGGTCTATATATTTTACAGCCCTATTTATGCAGATAAAAATAGTGTGGACTACCTGTGTGTGTGCATGTGTGTGACAGACCACCACTATATTATATGAGAAAATATGTACTGAATGGTCTGCGAAAACTGATAACTAAGTGTTAATAAACTGTAGAATATCCACTTCGAATATTTCTGCTCCTGTGAATTGACCGCGTTTATTGACCTGAAGGCGTTATTCGATTCTGTCAATCAAGATCTTATGGTTGTGACTATCAGTAAAAGGGGTGCCAGGTTGGAGGCTCCATACTCTAACACCCGTGGATGTGTTAGAGCCTATAGGGAGATATAAGATGTTTGCTGTACGACGAGTAGAGCTCGTCAAGGATGTTCACCTGATTCTTATTCTATTTTATTACATACGTTCTTATAGGGGTCTCCCTCTCGTCGTCTGACTTCACAGTAATTGATCTAATCATAAGACAATCCTTGGTAGATCTAAAATATGCAGATAAAATATTGATACTGGATGATGATTGAAGATGAAATGAAAATTTCGACCGCGGCCTGATTCGAACCAGGGACCACCGAGTTTTCGGCCCGATATTATACCAACTGAGCTTCAAGGTCAATCGTTCGAATCCGGACGCGGTTCAAATTTTCCTTTCACCTTCAATCACCACACAGTATCAATACAAATTTGCCAGACCACGGCTATCTCAGGTAGTCAAAATGGTAAGCAAATGAAATAATCCTGTTAGGTGAGAACGCTGACAAGATGCAGTCTTCTTCTGCACACCTTGAGTGACAATTTGAGAATTTTTGGGATGCACCTCTCAAGTTTATTGTTCTTCTAGGACTGGTTTGAGTTGGCGCCTCGTCTAACAAATAGTTCAGCGTGTTGACCACTTACTTGGAAAGTCACATCAGCTCTGGTGGATAAGTGACCGATGAAGTCTTCGTGAGGATAGGGCACTAATCAGATGCCCGGATGCCTACTGACAGTAGATTGTAAAGAGAAGCAGTTTCCTCTATTCCACTGTATCGTGGTGAAATATGGTCTTCGTAACAATTGGTGATGGTTAGAGAATCCTAGTAATACGGCCCAGAATTGATCTCAATAATGCAGATGCATACAAACATGATCTTCATCCCTTTCTGTTACCTCTCAATAACTTTGCTGCACTTATGATAAACGTTTCCCTTATTTCTCTTTAATGTATGTTGGTGTTTCTGCCCTGATATGCTGATACGACGTGTGGCAACTGGGAGCACTTAGCAATAATGTCAGGTGCCACGTTGAACCTAACTAACTAGGCTGGCTTTTATAGTCAGTTGGATGTGATATCTTAAGAGTGAAACGAAGAGATTTTCAAGAGAGATGAGTCATTTCAGTTAGCTTCAAAACAATCTAGGTTTATTGATGAAAACCAATTTGTGTATTTCAATATGTTCCTAATGATTCAACGGTCGTTGATAGGAACCTACAAAGAAGTTAGAATGAGAGGAAACTAAAATATTTAGACAATATTCAAGATGAAGATGAACAGTATGGTCAACAGATTGAAGCTTGTGTCTCTAGTTGTGACACCAACTCTTCTAGATCCCAATTCGGTTAGTGTTCACGATCAATACTGTACTAAAATGAATTTATTCACTCAGTAACTTGGTACATGCTTGTATACTAAACTGTGAACCACTCTTAATGTGACAGTTCATGATACTGCTACATTCCATAAACCAAACTACGTCGAATAGTCTCAAACTTAGAAGTCAGTGATAGACGAGTCATTGAAGCAACCATCCATCTTCACATATAAGAAACAAAGTTCAATATTCCAGGTGAATAAACACTACCTAGAAGGAAGATTATATAAGATGATAAAGTCTGAAATCTTAATAGTTGACAAGTTCATTGTAAATGAAATTCTTATCATTTATGAACTTACCCGCATTTATTATAGACAATTCATAAGAACAGGGTCCAGGACTAGATTTATTCCATTCTTCTGAAGAATTGCACTTTGATATAATTAATTTTGAATGTATTAACAGTGAAGAACTGGTGAAAAACACTAGACTAAATGTGATAAATATACATAAATAGTATTTCCTTGGATTATGTGAAGAAGCATTATTTAGCTCTCTACGCCATTCACATGGAAATGATGATTTTTTAAAAGTAGAGTTAGATAGGAACATTAAATCCGATTATCTTCCAAACCGTAGAAAAGCACCAGTGTGAAGTTGTTTCCATTTACAGCTATAATATTTTTCCAACTTGGCGTTTTACACTCTATAAACTATATATGTTTTTTGTTTATAAAAAAGGTATGAATTGGATCTTTGTGGTAAAGCAGTGCCGCATGGATTTTCGAAAGATATGTCTCTGCATATCACTAACAAAATCAGGCGACGTGCTGTTAGTAAAAAATATCACTAGCGGACCATGAGCAACAGTCATAACAATTTCTGTAATGAAAATTTAGCATTGATTCGTATGCTATGGCCTTTTAGAAAATTCTTATTGGATGAAAAGAAAGTAACCAATCACCATCTTTCGTCCATTAGTAACAATCGTCCAATCACAACAAACTTCATTTTCTTTTCTACCAGTGGTGTTTTGTTATTTGACCTTCAATCCATATGACTATTGGATGAGGTGTGTGAAAGCCTTGACTGTCACATCAAAGCGAGCTTATTCATCTGGTTTCTCCGACAAACAATATGAGTGCATCCTGGTGGCGTGTATTGGTTTCGATCATGCTGATTACTTTTTGAGCAGTTAGGAAATTGGCTACATGTACATAACCGAAGAGGAATGAAGTATATTGATTAGTCACTGGAGAGTAACCAACTTCATGTTGTCTACTTCTAATTGTTGACTGAATTCTGTCAATCATTTTACAATGTAGTCACCAGTCTAGTTGACTCAACATAACAATGCACTTTGATGGAGTCAATCAGCAGGAAGTATAACTGGAATTGTGATAGAGCGATCGTAGTAAAAACCAACTGAATGACCTAGAAACAACCAATTGGAATCAAGCAAAGTTCAATATGCATTCCAACGAAGTGGAATGGCAATAAGTCTATAGGCTACAGGTATAATAAAAAAGGTTTTCAGTGCAAAAGTTAGATCAGTCTGTACACAGTGCTATATTACAAGTCTCCTAGCGATGAGAATCTATTATTCAGGTTTTCCCGAGAATCCTATGTCTGAATTAATGAAGAGAAGAGTGATTGCGTCTACAAGAGGAAAAGAAATAAGTTATCTATAGGAAATATACTTTGAAAACTAAGTTGCGTTACATTATTACAATGAAATTAGCACTTTTGGAATCAATTCGAAAATTTGTCAGGAAACGATCAGTAGCTAGGTGAGGTGATTTCACTATGAAAGTAAATTTAAAAAGTAGCTCCACACAAATTTCAGTGTGACAATATTCTAGTGGTATACCATTTCCAGTCTTGGATAACGTCCAATGCGTTCAATTTGTCATTATGAGCATATTATCCATAATATTCCGTCAGTCAGGCTTTTCAAACTTTTGCAATCATTCTCACTGTACTAAGACAAAGCATCATTTGTTCGTGAAGGAATTAACGGTGCATAAAACAATGTTGTCATGTTTTCGGAGAGTTGCGACATCTATTAGCGTGGGCATCTTTTGTATAGCGCGAATGTTTTCCGGATGGGGACGTCTACCAGATGCATCAAAGATGAAACTGACTGACTTTAGAAAGAATTAACATTTCTCCTTTCTGAGTCGAAGGCCATTGTCTTGGATTCGCTGTAGGACCAACCGTATCCGATTGATTAATTCCGCTGAACAGGTGGCAACTATTATGACGTCGTCGAGGTATGCAGCAAATGTACTTTCAGTTTGAGGTTTGAAGAGCTTGTTGAGCGACAATCAAGTTGTAGGAAGACGTGAACCTGTGTTAGCCCGTTTGCAACAGATCAGTGTATCTGTTCATTCATCTTTTGAATAAATAAACCAACGTAGTGAACACAAATATTGACGTTGTGTGATAAAGTTAGTATTTACTAGTCGCGGTATGTTTCTTCATCGGTGTTTTTTCTCTCTTGATGGGTTCTTAGAGATTTCTTGAACTTGTATGAAAGAAAACAGATGATATTTCAGGTCAGAAATTGTAATCAAAAATCTAGAAAATGTTAAATGAATCGGATTTTTATTGCACAACCTGCTGAAGCGTAGAAATTAAACTTGTGAAGGCGTTCATCATCGAATAAACTGGTCATCTCAAGGATAATACTTGCATTTGTTATCTGAACTGTTTATGATGAACGAGGGTTATCGTCTAGTTGACACCTTGTTACCTGCATACTACTCTTTTAGTCTGGATCGAAGTTACTGACTGTATCAGGCCATAAGCATACCATTTGTTAGTATGAGATATGTATAAGTGAATTAGGAGTAGCAAACTTGACACATGATGTCTTGCAAATGAATGAAAGTAAAGTGGCTTTCATTACCGTCATGAAGTCTACTTTAATGCTTACAAGTAAATGAATATATAGATAACTTGGTAATTGCCCGTATGTATTTGTGGAGATGGTAGATGGGTAGATGAATGAGGCTGGTGAATGCACGAATATGTTGGAAGTGTATATATATTTATTATTTATTTGTCCCTTGGGTCCCTAATGGAACATACGGATTCACTAGCACGTCTCCAGCACACCCTCTTCTCCACAATCTTCTCAACCTGGTTCCACAACAGCCCACAAACTCTCATTTCTTCCTCACATCATCTCCTCCATGTCATCCTCACCTAGAACGACCAACTCGTCATTTCCCATCTGCCTTCCACTCGAGTGCCTGACCTGGCGCGTGATGCCTGATGTACCCAGTCGGCCTTCTCACTGTATGCCCAATACTTCTCCACTTCCTTCCACTGCATATCTGTTGGGTAATAGATTCTTCCTTCGTCGGTTGGTTCGTTACCAACCAGCCACAGTTCCTTCTTGCTTATTCCAATCATTCTGGCCATCTGAGCTTGAGTAACGAGCCAGTGTAGGTAGCTGTTGATGAATGTCTGAAGTTTGTTGGAAATCCCTTTCATAACGTGCCAAGTCACTGAACCATACAGAAGCACTCACTTGATTGACATTAGTTAGTGTTGAAAATCTGGATGTTGTCTACACTTTATACTGAGTGGAGTGCAGAAGATGTTCACACTGGTTTCAGGTTAATGAACACCTGTCTTGCTTGCTGTTCCTATCCTGGCTGCTTTGACGTCGTTGTCTGTGCTTATGCTACCTGTAGTTGAAACGATGCTGCATTGCCTAGAAAGGCGTAGGTGAAGGAGGCTACTTCCTTCAAGTTTCTCCCGTTGATGGTGATTGGAGCTTGTTGTTGTTGTTGTTGTTGGTGGTGGTGGTGTTGGTTGGGTATTATCATCACCTCTGTCTTCTCTACATTCACTTGAATTCCCGTCTTCCTTGGCTACTCTGCCTCTTCTGTCAACTTGTTAGTTTTCACCTGTAGATCTTCGAGTTTATGCGACATTAGACATAAGTCATCTGAAGTGTATATGGATAACTATTATCAAATCTGTCAAGACGTTGTGCTCGACTAAGATATGCAGACAAAAGATGTTGTGTGATAATGAAAACGATATTTATCAGAGAAAGTTGAATCACATAGATTTGTTGTTTTGGTACGAAAAGCAGCTGAATCATGTATGGTTATCGACCTACTAAAGCAGTAGTGTTTGAAGTAAGACCCTCATGATTACACAGAAGCTTTGAGAAGATCTAGAAGCTGTAAAATTTCTACGTCAGTAACCTATGGCTTATATGTTTTTCGATGAACTAGAAATTCAACTGAACATGTAGATGAGTTCAAGTTTATATGAAGAAGATTATTGCCTGTGATGGTTTAGACATGAGGTTTCTATGAGAGTAATGAACACAATTCGAGATATTCTAAGGGAATGGTGTCAATCATTTCAATTTAGAAATCCTCATTTTATTTATATTTAGCGACCATCTAGATGAAGTATGATTTGGCACTATTTTGGTAGTTGGTTAGGGTAAATCTTGGTGACTATCTGCTCACCTTTGTTTATATTCCTAGTCATCTTGACTGATTATTTACTGACTAATTGATAGTGAGAGATGGTGACCTCTTTCACTTGAAGCGTCGACATTCTTTTGTGTATGACTGATTTCTGTGTTTGATGAGATTTCTTCCTTCTGTTTGTGGAATCATAATATAGTTGGACAGTATATGGAAAGTGATAAGGGTAGGTATTTGGTGGTCTGATTGAGTATGTTGATAGTAGGTTTATGATGTATCATATTGAGTCAGTAGTATTCAGTTGTTGAGTTAATTGTTCACTCTGTGGTCTCATTAAATCTTATATCCGGTTGACTTACAGTTGAGACTGACTAGTCGGTCTACAAAGTAGTGAACTCGTGTAGATTTAGACAGTTTCGATATTCATTGAGCATGCGACGGGATTGTCCACCTTATCATGGAACATTAACTAGGGTACAAGTAAGTTGAAAGAAGGAAGTTCCCGGTGATTCAAATCAAAACATAGAACCACTTCTGTCTGAGTAATGTGGTTCTGTGCTGTCCTGTCTATTTCATCCGGCAGAGTAACCATCACTTTTTGTATAAGTTGATGAGATGTCTCTATCTTGTTTGATTGAGTACATTCTACTGAGTGATAGTAAACTCTAATTTCCTATTGACTGACATTTACCTGAATAATTTTTCATCAGTTTCTGTCAATTTCCCTCCTTTTCTTGTTACAAATTGATCAGCTAATTTTGCTTGGCATATCTACCTTTAATGGTGATCAGTCATGATACACTGGATTAATCATTCCACTAATTATCATTGTAGATAGGAAGGAGAAGAATTCGACGGTATACGGAGGAGATATCTATCCATTTGTGTATGACTGACTTATATGCGTGTCCACAGACCGATCATGTGTACATCAGAAATACAGTTTTATAGAAGATTATATTATACTACAGACTGGGATTGCCTTGTATAGGCTGTTTTGCTACCTATGAGGTATAGGGGTTAAAATTTGTGGTTGTAATTTGATCTGTTGTTTGTAGGGATTGTTAAAATGAGAAAAGTTGGTGATCCGTTTATTTAATCGAAGTCTATGCTTTACATTGACTCTTTTTGACTTTCGTTCAACTTGGATCA